CAGATTGGTTAGGTTGTCCGGCGCAAATTCTGGTTGTCTCGGACAACCGGACAACGCTTATTTCGAGCACTGAAAAGTGTAGGACTTACCAACGCGAGCAAGCATATAATATAAGTTATCCAGTTTTCGATCTATGTGCGGCGTCCTATGGCTTAGTCGTATCTCGATTTGAAAATTTGTTGCTAACAATTTCCCTCCGACATCGGCCATCCATCGTCCAATACGTGACGTCAGGTGACGTGCGCGCAACTACACAAGTACGCAAGTGCATTGGACGATGGATGGCCGATTGATAGCCCCAATTGTGAGTTTGGAGCGATGAAACAGCGATCCTCGGCGGGATCGGAGAAATTCCACGTTTTGTATAGGCAAGTTGCTCTGACCTAACCCACACCAAATCCACCAAAATCGTCAGTGTGGGCATTGGTCAAAGGAATCTCGGACTAGTAGTAGTAGCAATGGTGAGACACTCGAAAACGGGTGAGTACCGTAGTGTCGCTTCAACGCAGTTTTTTACACACTTCCGGTGAACTCACATAACGTTTCTCGGTCGAAATGAACAAACAACACCCCTCTCGATTTTAAAGGGACTACCCCCACATTTACGAAAATGACATAGGTCTCAATCTGAATCTCGCCTAGCTCTAGTACTATAGCCCGCGTTCAGTAACTGCCGCAGGGCTATAGAACATTCTCGCACAGATTTCGTAACACCACCGGGTACCGACAGGTTCCACTCAAAATGGTTCACAAAACGGAAAATGATCAGGCTTTTTAACACTTATTTATCTACATGGCCATCTCACCTATATTTTTGAACACTTCCACAACTTTACACCATGTATTTATGCATTTATTCCTAAAAGTCTTAGCACTACTGGTGTTTCGTTTTCAAATGCGGTTGCTCTGCTTATGTGTATACGTGTGACGCCACCCGAAATGTAGAGAAAACACATAGGCAGCTATGATTCAGCCTAGTACATTTCGGGCGATGTCACGCATATACACATAAGCAGAGCAACCGCATTTAAAAACGAAACACCAGTAGATCAGATTCAGATTCAGATTCAGATTCATTTTATTTTGCACTTTTCATTCATTTGTACAGATAATTTCAGATAGTAGTAAAAAGGGAGAGAAATAAATAATATTATAGAATCGATAGGTTTAAGGTGAATGTGCGTAGTGGTCAAAGTAGCAATAAGCTTTCGAGTTGACCGACAGTCGGTAGTGCCAAGACTTTTAAGAATAAATGCATAAATACATGGTGTAAAGTTGTCGAAGTGTTCAAAAAGATAGGTGCAGGGTTCTCCCTACGTTTGGGAAAACTCCCCCCTGTTTGAAT